TCTTTATTATTATTACTCAACACGTTGACTCATATATAATTTATTTGCTTCTGTAATTTTCTACATTTTTAATGTTTTAACAGTTATCTAAAATATTCATTTTGGCAGCAAAACATCTGATCTGGGGTATGCCCTCTGTTGCGACTCATAATTATTTTTTTCTCACTGCTGTGCTGATATAGTGTCTAGAAAAAGTTTGAGGGAGCTGCAAATACCTTCTCTCACTATGCACTCCCATGGTCTTTGGGAACATCTGTACAAAGTCCCTGCTTGAGTCTGGTGTGACCAGTGATCCAAACTCTGGTCTTAAATCAAGCACAATGGGGAGCTGAATAAGTGCAGAACAAAAATAAATTTTTAAACCTCAAAAGCTGCCAGATTTAATCAGAAGCAAGAGTGATTTTGGCAGAGGCAGCTGTTCTCTTCCTCCATCTCCCCTCCCACCATCCCCCACACCCGGTCCTACCATCCACTTTGGCCATGCAAGATAAACCACAGAATTCACTGAATGTTCTCACTCAGAACAGCCAGGGCTGACACAGTAAAGACTGAAAACTTTCTGGTAAAGGCGAAGAGGTGTCTCCACAACTCTTACAGGAAAGTACCATTAGTACAAGTACTGAGCTGACTGACAAATACAGAAGCTGAACAGCTGTATGCTGAACACAAATTCTCACTGCAAAGCCACCAGCATCTGCTAAACTCACCTTCCTAAGAGCATGATGTTTTTCAGAAGCATGGTATCTGGATACCTTCTATTGCTGATTTGGAGCATATCTCTATATTTATGCTTTTCTGACTTACTGACAGTCATGCAGATCCTCAAAAACTTTGGTGTTTTCTTTATTCTGTTAATTTTAGCCATATGTTTTTCCTCACCTTTCCCTCAGCTTGTCAGTGCTGGAATCTATGAATTCACTTCATTTAAAATGTTTGCTTCTTTGTATGTACTGCAGATTGTAATCCATCTACACCATTAAGGGAAAGCAGCCCTTTTTCCCAAGGGGAAATGCAACCAGTTTCTAGGAACAACCAGTGTATTACTAGATAGGTGAATGCTGGAATGTCAGCATCTAAACTAGCATTACAGACAGAATAAATCAACATTACCAGTATTACACACTTTATATGAGAGGGCTTACAAAGTTAAGGGGGTCACAGAGAATTACAGTTCTCTCCCCCTTCCTGGTAAAAAGTTACTCCTGTGAAGTTTTGCTTTAAACTGCACATACACCAGCATACAAGAAACTCCAGAATGCAAACAGAAAAGCACAGTGATAAACAGGGAAATTTATTTTTAGCCCAGCAGAGATTTATCACTGTGAGAGTCTTGTGACTTTGACAAATTTAACAATAATGAGTTGTGTATACAACCTACAATAGTTGACAGCAAATAATATATTCCATCTGCTGGAGTTGTCCCAGGAGGTTGATGTTCAAGGTCTAAAAACTTTCAGATTTCTATAATTTTTTTCCTCCCTAATAAAAAGCATTATGAAACAGCTATTTGGTTCATTTTGTGAAGCATACATTGCAGTGAATAGCTGTTATTTGAAGAGGAAGCTCAAAATGCATTTAGAAAAAATTCAGTTACAGCAAAATTTTATTTTCCTTCTATATGGATCGGTCTCTATGACCTGCCACTCACTTAACTGCTTCAAAGCTTACAGGAACATTAAAGATGCCAGAGTGCTCATACATGGCTTGTCATCCTAATAAATGACCCTGCTGCAGGGGAGTACATACACAATGGCTGACAAAAGCACGGGTGAAGATCAATTTCAAGACTCCCTATGGATATAAACTCAAGTGAGGATGAAAATATCAAACCAGACACCCTGGTATGAAGCAGTTCCTCAGCAGAAGCAGAAGTTATGCATGGGGAAAAAAAAAACCAAACTGCACTAATTTCTTTATAAAAAGAAATTGTGAGAGGTTTGACTTCAAACAAGGAAACTATTATTGTGGAAGATTTTGGTCTTTCCATGTCTGTAAGAGTGGTCAAGTTCTTAGTGTTACAGAGCACCCTAAATCAGTCACACCCAGAACTCCATGCATGGTGCAGAAATCAGGGGCTGTTTTCCTGTTAGGTTATCAAGCATTTGTTTTGAAGTTCCACTGTTTTTGGTGAGCAAAGATTTTATTTCTATATTATGCACTATCTACTACCTGTTTTTTATTCCACGTACACAAGTATCTCATAAAACACATGATCAACATTATTTCTAAGATTTCCCTTTTCTAAAACCTTCTTTGTATAAAAAAGGAAAGCATTTTTGCCCAGCTTGGAAAGATATGCCTCCTAAGCAAGTTTTGAGCAAGCCAAGAAGATTCTGGGTGGACATGGAGACATGAACAAGATTTCATAAGAAAAATTTTATTTTCATGAAAAAAGGTGCACATACATAATGCAGTTCCTGGATTAAGGTAAATTCCTCATTTATCAAGGATATTTTAACTACATTTCAATCTATTTCTGCAAGGAAACAAGGAATTTTCTGTTGTCTGCACTTGACAGACATTTGTTTCATGCCTTCCTACAGTCCCTCTCACATCTGACCCCAGCAGCAGAATAGCTGTTTTAAAGCAATAGCTCTGTTCCTCTTAGTGAAAAGTGATATAGTAAATGTGATCTAATTCATCATCTAAGTTCACCATCATCTGTAAAATATCCAGCCCACACAACCAATGGATAAAATATTCCACTATAGCAACACTCAAATAGAAGCTATCATGGCTCTTTTCAACTACCTTTTTTATTATTATTATTATTATTTTCTCTGCCTTTTCTACTTTCGGCTTTGAGAGGAAAAAAAAAATAACTCCATTTACAGGCTTGAAGCCTAGTACTTCCAGTTTCCAAGAATAGAAGCCTATTAATTCTGGCAAGGAGAACTTCACTGCGAGAAATCAGGTTTAAACTTTTTAGAGGTGTCAAGAATGTTCAGTCAATTGAGCAATTGAGTTTGCCAACTACATTCCGGGAAGCTTTGCAACAGAAGGAATGAATCAGAAAAATCAAATTAAGTGGGATTTACCCCTGACACTGGCTAAGGCAAAAAGTGAAAGAAAATGAAAAATAGATAAAACCTAATCGGTAAGGGAATAATATGCATGGCTGTCTCTCACAACAAGAATAACTTAGACCAGCTTAAAAGTAAAATAAGAAAACATTTTCAGAAGAAGGGGTGAAAATTCTTTCATTTTCCTGTTACCAAGCAGAAAGAGATACAGGCTTGTCTTTTTACTCCCTTTCTTGTGATGAAGAGCTTTGCTCAGATCAATTATGACCATTCAGAGAACAAAGCTTTAGTGAATAAACGTGCACTGCCAGAGTCCTGAATGCAGCAACATAGTCCTCAACATCTTATGATCTACAGTGCTGTTACAAATTACACAACACTTTGCTCCTTCTGTCCAGCACTGACTGATATCAAAATATACTCAGTGAAATCTGCTATTACTTGGTCAGCAAGGGAAGTTGCACTGCTTCAATAAATGCTGAGAATGAACACAGTATTCTGATACATGTCATTTATAAATATCACACCCTTCACCCCCTTTCCCAGAACCTATAAAAGCACCGCCAGTGCCAAACAACAATTAAAATACCACAATTGCTGAAAAGCAACCTGACCTCAAAGTAACAGGTTAGACATTTACAGCAGAGCATAAAACACAAGGAAGAGCATGAGGGGGAATGGAAACTTCCATCAGTGGAAGGAAAGCTCTCCTTTCTGCAGTGGCCCTTCATGGCTATCAATTGCATGAAACCTCTTGAAGGTCTCCCTGTGAAAGCCAGATGTCCCTGTCCCTTACAGATGTGCCTCAATATGCCACAGCTCTCAGATTCCTGCTATTCCACATCTGACTGCTCCAGCATGGATGACACAGGTTGCACTGACAATCTAGCAACTCTATAAAGTCAGAGTAACCCAGTGAAACTCCCACTTTTGATTGTGTTCAGTACAAGAAGACACCACATGTTCCCTTTTGGGGGGCAAAAATATTTGAAGTACTTTTTATTAAATAAACCTTCATGTCAAGACTACAACCATACTCTGTCCAGGCTGAAGTTTTGCGTCAGCTTCAATGTGATGTAAGAGCAGCAATTTCATACAGAGTTGATGTTCAGGTTTATCAAAGACAGATGAAAACCTAACTCAAATCATGACATAACATATCCTAGACTAGGGCCAGCCTCTTTGGATAACTCAGTAAACTTGGCAAGGCTTTGTATGCCTCTAGGTATGGAACATAACTCAGACTACAAGGAAACATTCTCCCTTTTAGCAGATCCAGAACAGATCCCCAACCCCATCAGACAAAGGACATCAACACAGAAGTGGAAAAACTAGCTTTTCAAAAAATCTTCTTTTATAGTAAACAATACCATTTCATATGCACATTTCCATTACAAACTTAATTAAAAATAAGAATTTTACAAACAAAGCAACTATCTTAACTCAGCATTGAAGTTCAATCAGTTTTCAGGTTGAAATACACCCGTCATTTATAGAAACATACAATATTTTAAATGAAGCAAGAAAAATATCCCATTTATAAAAACCTATTGGTTGATGTAGGCATAAAAATGCTTAGCTGTTCCTATCACAATTTCTTTGCACAATGTTTAAGAGGGTGCTGTAAAAAAAGTAAAAATATTTTTCCTGGTTTATTTTTCCTTCCTTCAGATTCTCTGCGAGATAAAGTTTAAAGGTGGGGCAGATTTGAGGAAGCTTCTGAAATAATTCAAAAAAGGAGAATTAACAATATAGCCAACATTTTAATTGATTTAAATTTGGTAAACAAAGAAAGATCTTGATGTTCACACCATATGTATCTAAATTTGTGTCTTCCTACTTTTGTTATGCAATCATTGGTTGGAGGCATCTTGCTGTACTGATTAGGTGAGAAATTTTCCCTTCAGCATGTCAATTCTTTCTAACAACATCTCTTAAAAAAAAAAAAAAAAGCTAAAGTCAATGTAAGTAAATTACCTCTAGGTTCATCAATGTAGAAAGATACATCTTTTTTGTGCTCTTGTTCATCAACATGATCATAAGTGATCTGTGGAACAGACAAGGCATTTTCTCCTGGGTTTATTGCAGGTGCAGAACCATTACCACATCCTAGCTTCCCTTTTCTTTTGTATCTTCTAGCCTGTGGTGGTAGAAATGGAATTATATCAGAAGAAATTATCAAACACAGACAAGTACACATGTGACCCTCAGGATGCAGTAAATTTACTTGAGGTCATATGTTTTTTATTTAAATAATGAAATTGAAATTAAGTGAAAGGGTTAGAACCTTTGTTTTCAAAATATCTGATTCCAAATTATCAACTAAAATCTGGTAAGAATTGATTCTCAGGAGAAGATGCTCAGCACATTTTGAAAAATCAGGTCTCAAGTACCAAAACTCAAGGCATACAAAATACTAACCACTTGAGTACACATCAGCTTGGCTGTATCATATTTCTAAAGCTTTAATTAAACATACCCATAGACTTTGAACTGTGAACTAGGCCCTGTGCAGCTTTTTCAACTGAAGAAAAAATTCACCTTTTACCAAAAAGGCCAACTTATGCACATCAGGAGAAGATAAATTCCTCCTCCTCCATACAGTTCTCCTGATTTTAGAAGCCTAATAAATGTCCTAAATGGGCACTTAAAAACAAAAAAGTTAAGGTTTAGATCAACATAAGAGAAGATGAGCCTTTGGTAAGAGATGAAAGAACCATGGTTTAGTTCTTAAATTAGGGTTAGCAGTTCACAGGGAGGTTCAGGTTTAATATGTTTGGGAAATTCCTCTGAATAGAGAAAACAGAGGGAAAATACCATCTATTTTTTTCAGCTCTCAAACCATTGACTGTTTGCTGTTCAGCACCACTTACAAAGGAGCCTTACTTCAGCTTTACCCCTCTCCTCCTGTTTTTTCTGTCTCCAGTTATGACAAAGCAAAGCCATGGCAAAGTCACACTCTGCTCAATACTGAGCAGGTCACACTGCTGTGACACAACACAAACGTGCACACATATCATGCCCTTACAGCCTTCTCCATCTGAAATTGTACTGCCCTTCTGCCCGGGGCAACAGGCATCAGTGGCATTTCACTGCCTAAACCCAGGCCTCCAACATCATTTGAGAAACCATGAGCCTCTGAGCTCGAACTGCTGCAGACCTCTGCCTTTCTGGCCGGGGTGCTGAAGGCTGGGCAAGCTTGGCAGTGCAACTACAGGACTGTGTTTGGGCAATCCCACCTGTGTAGGCAAACACTTTTCCACTTTACTGCACCCAAAACTCAGGAAACTGCCCTAATTTCTACACTAAGCCCCAAATAAAAGTACCACAGAGTACTTCAGGAAAGCACAGCTACTTGTCAGCCACAGGTTGAATGTGAACATAAGTTTTTAAACTATCTTTCTCCTTTCTTCTTGTATGAACCACTATGTAAAAGGAACACACCATTGCTTTACAGTACCCTTTGAGAATGTAGGAGACTTCAAAGGGGATAAAACAATGGAGAATTGGCACCTGTCTGACCATCAAGGCAATTTAAAGTTCCCTCAGGAATATTTTTAAGGAAAACGCAGCCAGTCGCGCTGTGGCATGAGGAAAATAATCAAGCGTGTTTCAGCTGTCCAGATTCTTCACTCACTTTACGAGGCTTTTGGCAAGTTATTCCACTGAGATTTAAAAAGCAAGCACAGAACCGAGCTCTGCCCATCCTCCGTTACCTGTTTTCTCAGACTAGGGCTAGATGGCGCTGCTGACTTTTTGGGATTTTGCGCTGGGGGTGTAACATAGATCTTCCACGTCGCTGTGGAACTGCAGGATTTCTCTGCTGCGTAGCACCGCCACAGAGTCTGCAATGAAACCCAAACCCAACAATCGCAGTGAATAAGCAGCCACTGTTAGGGCAGGTAAGTCAGATTTTGCTGCAAATCGAACTGACAACAAAACTTTCAGTCGAGGTAAACAAGCTGCAAAGGGGTCTGACTGCAGTCATGGTGCTATACCACAACACCATAACTAACAAAATACACTCCTCCCTCTAGATAACTGTGGTGAATGTAGTTTGCACCAGGACAGCTCCACGCATTACACAGTGATCTTCAGGACACTCCTTGGGGCACTCTCCCTAGGAGCTGGGATCTATCCCTGCCCACAGCGTGTGGGGTGGAGGGGATCAAGACAAAACAACCCTCATAGAAGTGAATCCCCACAAGCATCACTGGATACTGCTGCTTCCTTTTTCCTTCACTGTGCCACATTCAATATTTGTGCACCATGCTACTGTATTTGTTATATAGACTGTTATCCTGGGGCATTTGTCTAAACAGAGGTGGGTGTTTACATGTATTTGTACACGCGTTCACCACCTCAGGATTTCACAGATGCACAGGACCTAAGAGAATATAAAGAGGAAGTTATGAATTAAATATTATCATGAAGTTTTTTTGTTTTTTTTTTACTATTTCACCACATATACTCATTTTGTCCAGTTAGTGTCCTTATGCCTGTGAATATCAGGTTAGCACACCTAGAGATGGACGACAGGCAATTATCTAATTTTCTCTAGTGACTAAAGTGGATCAAAATTACTAAGTGGTTAAACACAAGTTATAGATTTATAATAAAATCTAGGAACCATGATTCTCAGTATTTGAACTACTAGGCCACACTCCTTCTCCAGTAAGTTCCTACATATTTTACTGTTAGGGGCCTTACCTGAATTAGGGAAGCTGCAGCTGGGATTTGTCTGTTGAAATGCTTCTGACGTTGCTTTTGCTGTACTTTCAGGGCAAAACCGGACCCCAAAATACCCTAAATATATCCAGAATTCCTAGTCAGACTCCAATATGGCTTCACATACCTAAATCAAATACTTAGCATATGAAAGAAACAGACATTTTATAAAAGACTTTCTGAGAAAAAGAAAAATCATGATTTTTCAAATGTCCCAGAAACAGAATTTATTTATTCCAACAAATAAATCTGAAATTGAGCAGATCAATATTGGCATCGTGTAACTTCAATAAACAGCATGTGTTTGTTGCTGTGAACAACAGGCTACAGGAATCAGAGACATTTGCAGAGGCAGACACATTCCAAAGGCAACCCTACACAATGGTGGGAGAAGCAAATGACAATGTCACATGACTGATTCTCAGCTATTCTTTGCACTTATTTTTAATTCCTTACCACAAGAAACCCAAATCCCAAACCTTTCCCAATCCCCCAAAAAACTCATCCCCAACCCTCCATAAAAGAACACCAAACCCACCTGCTCCCCCACAGCAAAAAAAAAAAAAAAAGAAAAAAAAAAAGGCAAACCCAACAAAAAAACCACTACCACAACTAAAGCCAGAACCTAGTTTGATTTTCCAGTCAAACTGAGCAAACAAGGCAAAGACATGCTTAATAATTTCAACATTTCTGTTAAAATTGATAGTTACTGAAGAAATACTTTGTCTTGTCTAATTGCCTCAATGCTGTTGTCTTTATTCTTACCCTGTTTATTCAAAGATCCAAAAAGCCCAAAGATCTCTATAGCACCACATAGGATGGCAGATGCCATAGAAGTGTTCTTTTTGTTCCTGTCCTCACAGGACACCAAATTAATATCATATAACCACAAAACAGAAACAAAGAAGTGGTCACTTCTGGCACAAACATGCTGATAAAAAGCCCCTCTACAACTCATAGACCAGAATAGCTTCAATTCTTCAAGTAGTGGAAGTTATTCTTACCTCCTTTCTAGGCCACCTTTATCTAAAACAAGTACTGTAAAGATGCAGCAGCTTCATTCACAGAATCATAGAATCAGTTGGGTTGAAGGGACCTTAAAGGTCATCCAGTTCCAACCCCTGGAGAGGGACACCTTCCACTAGACCAGGTTGCTCAGAGCCCCATCCAACCTGACCTTGAACACTTCCAGCCACAGCTTCTCTGGGCAACCTGTGCCAGGGCCTCACCACCCTCACAGGGAAGAATTTTTTCCTAATTCCTATCTAAACCTGCTCTCTGACAGTTTGAAACCATTTCCCCTTGTCCTGTCACTCCAGGCCCTTGGAAATAGTCTCTCTCCATCTTTCTTGTGGGCTCCCTTCAGGTACTGAAGGCTACAATTAGGTCACCCCAAAGCCTTCTCTTCTCCAGGCTGAACAATCCCAATTCTCTCAGCCTTTCCTCATAGGAGAGGGGCTTCATCCCTTGGAGCATCTTAGTGGCTCTCCTCTGGATGACCCCAACAGGTTGATGTCCTTCCTTCGTGTTTCCATACACACAAACATACACTTGGGGATGTGTGTGTGCACATTCTGAAGCAACATCCAACCCTGTTATTTCCTACCAAAGGCACCAATTTAAAATTACTTAATTGTGCACCCAAGTCAGACAGATTCAAACTCTACTTACCGCTGGCAGAGCAAAGAAAGAGATAGCAAATACTGAAAAACAGGAAGCTATTGTCTTCCCAATCCACGTCTGGGGAACTTTGTCTCCATAACCAATTGTCGTGACAGTTACCTAGGCCAGAAACAAATACCTGTTTCAGTGCAACAGGGTACCTTTTCTCTCCAAAAAGCAGGGAAAAAAGAACAAAAGGAGAAATAAATTAGAGAAATATCAGGAGACAGGCATGAATGAGCAGTGTTTGGATATGGGAGTACCCTAAACATCACTGTTGATTTATCCTGGGTTTACATTCTTCAGCAGACATTCACAGCTGACCACTGTTTCTGAAGGCAACAGTAGTCTGGCTGTAGGATGACTGTTCTTACAGCTTGTAGCTGGCTGCTTCCACCATTCCAAAACTGCAAGAATTGGCCCTGTGGGCTTGAAACCATAGTCTTGCAGTTTTTCTGCCATTGCTTTTAAAATGTAGTTCCACAGCAGACAGAAGAAAGCCCTGAAAGCACCGACTTGCACACAACCAACATGGGTATTTGCCCATCTCTGCAGTCAGGCACATACTGGGAGAGGCAGGGTAAGCCCTGTGCTGACAGGGATGAAAAGGGACAGAATTTACACCATCCCAGCTGAATCTTCATGGCAAGAAGAGGAACACACAACCATTCCAGGACGTGTTAACTCCCAAAATCAACCTGCCAGTAGACCAAGAGCTGAACGCAGCTGAGCCCTGTGCTTACCTTTTATTCCTCCCCCAACAAATAGAGTACTTTGTCACTCAAAATTGTGTTTAAGCCACAAGATGCTTATACCTGGATCTGCTCATTGCTTACGAGAGGCCAGGTACTCCCTAAGGGACAAAGGAACCCAAAGTCAAGGAAGATAATGTACCCAGCAAGCTACGTTATCTATCCTAAGGACCTGGTCCCACAGCAGCCAAGCAAAACAGAAGCAGAAAGTGCAGCCAGATCCAATCAAGAGTCTGGAGTATAAAGCAGTATCTTAGCAACAAGGCAGGTCTGACATTAAGCCAGGAATGCCATCCACAGGTCAGGATTAGGATCAGGTACAGTGGTCAGCATGTAGGTCCACAGGGATGAGGCATTGGCAAAATATTGGTCCTTAGGTGAAAGTCAGGATTAAAGGACTCCACAGCCAGACCCAGATGCAGTAAAGCTAAAGACCATCTCTCCTGTTTCTGAGTTTAAATAGAGCCCCTGGATGTGGCTAGAGGCCACTGGTGATGCTGGCCAGGGTCATTAGGCCAATTAGTGCCCTCAGGGCCTTACCAACACCCCTCCCCACCTCCACTCTAAGCAAGGCATGTGCTTACACAGCTCTGGGATCTGTAGGGACTTGCTGAAGAGGGACTAAATCACTGTGGGGGTGGCAGGCCACCCCTGGAAAATCACGCAGGCAGGAGGACCTGAGCATGATGGAGGTTTTGGGCTGTTCCTGATGAACCCCAGCAGGAAGGAAGACAATTCATTATGAGGCCAGTGGACAGTAAAGATTGGTGCTGGGCAGGGATCAGAGTTCAGGTAAAGGCTGGTCCATCAGAAGGGCCCATCAACAAGGGCCAGCTGCTCCCCAGAGGAAGGTGATAATCAGCTGATCCCAAAGAGGATCCCCAGGCAAGCCAAGGGAATCCTACATCTGGACAGGCAGAGGCCTTACCACTCTGGGCACAGGCTCAGAGTAGGATAGACTCAGACAGTGACTGTGCCCAACAAAGAATCCCAGTCATACAGCAATATCCAGGTAGTGAGGGATGTCTGAGGCTGAGTATGGAAGCCAGACTGTGGGTTGAGATCCAGCTCATCAGACCGTGGCTGAGCTGGGAACCAGCTCTCCTCCAGCACAGCTCAGGCAGCAAAAAAAACCCCCAGGGCTGAGCCTTAATAAGTCATGAGGGTGTTGGGGTGACCCCTGATGTGCCTGGCCAGAGCCATTAAGGCTTTTTAGCATACTCAGAGCTCTGATGCTGCCATAAAATGGTGTGAGAAATGTGGCTTGTACTCCCTGAGAAGTGAAAGGCTTCTGGTGAGGAAATGAAGAATTCTGTCACCAATGCTAACCACTGGGGAGAACTTTAAATAGAAAAAATGCACTTCTATTTGGGAGCCCCAGCCCTAAACCTAGTCCCCCTCCCTTCACTTTGCCTTGAATGGTAGCAGAAATACAGCCAACACAGACTTGAAAGAATATGTAAATTTACACTGACTACAAAAGAGGCTGCCTTTTATGGAAAAATTTGCTGACAAATGCTTAGATATTATGCAAAAATAGGCTTCTCAGAAGAAGCTATCAAGCAATAAAGGCACGAGAAGAATATATTTCCTCCTCCTCTCAGAGCAGTTCTACAGAGAGCTAGAAGAAATATTTGCAGGGAAAAAATTACCAACTACTACCAAACTTAATTTTTCCAAGTTCAAAAAAAGTTAGGCTTGTGTTTATTCATCATAAATTTCTCACTTGATGAAGTTCACTTTGTAGAATCTATATCTTCGAATGAATATTGTTATTTTGAACTGTAAACTGCTCTCAGCAGGAACTTTGTCTTTCCAGGTGTTTAATGTGGCTTGTGAAGTGACTCAGGTGCTGTGTACTACCAGCAGTACAAACAGATGAGTTTGCCAGTCCCCAAAATTAAACCAGACCCCCCAAAATTCAACTTTGAAATGCAGTATGTGTTAGTGGGCAGTGGAGGAAGTTAAAGCAGTGTTTCTTTAACAGCACTTCAGCTCCTCAGTGCACCCAGATGACCCCTTAAAGTCTGTGATTTTTCCTTCCTTTTCCTCTCCTTTTTTTTTCTTATGAAAGCCTTCTTGGTTTTTTGTGGGTGGTTTGTTTGGTTTGGGCTTTTTTTCTTTTTTTTTTTTTTTTTTCCTGACTTCTCCAGCACTCAGGGCTCAAAAACAAACTGCAGTAATGTTGAGCTGCCTTAGTTACTATGGAAGACAGCATGAAAGCTGTAACCACAGAAAAGATGAATTTTCCATCTCTACAGCAAGCATTTGGCTGGCAGATTCCTGCAGGTGCCTGAACATGTCTCAGAAAGTTTTTCCCTGGCTACCTTAAGAGGATGCCTTCTTGGTAATCTAATTAGTACATAGAATATGGAAAGGATTATAAATAATGTAATTATCTGGATTTCTTAATCACAACAGATTTTTTTTTTTACTTGCACATCCAAATGTTATTAGTATCTCTGAGAATATTGAATGTGGTTTTTGGAAAATGACACCTCCTTCATAACACAGATTTATGGTGGCACATTCCGGCTGGTGTGCACATGCTCTAACACAGGCTCTGAAAACATATCTGTACATATCTTCAAAAAGGGAAAAACTTAAATTCATTAGAAGTCAACAGAGTTGCCCAGATGGTTTAAGACAGGCAGGTGTCCTGAAGTGTGAAGAGTCAGAACTGCACACCTCAAAAAACATACTAAATATAAAGGGGTTCAAACTGCTACCTCTGGCACGAAAATTTACTACTGGAAATTCTGATCCTAAGTACCTCTGCCAGTTAACACCAATTTACTGGAGAAACTATTTAATGCAAATTCAATGGTACAGAACAGTTGAGTTTGCAGCAAGACCAGTAAGTGTTACCAGCAGCAAGAGACAAGTGTGGAAGGGCCAACAGAAGAGAAGCCTCCTACGTGCTCTTCTTCTTTCCTCAAGAAAAAGTACCCAGAAAGGACAGGAAAACTTCTGTGACATGGGTTGCAATTCTGGCAGCCTGACCATGCTGTTAGAAATGCTGTTGCATGTGTTGTACATGCTAAAACTTCTGAAAGTAGCTTCATGCAGAATACAAGTCTTTGATATTTTATTGCAGTTTAACCTGTTTGCCTGCCAAATCTGGGTGAAACAACTTTGCATTTAACTGAAGCAAGTGAATGTAGTTAGCATCTAATTCCAACTCTCCTTCATTCTTTATTTTTTTCTTTTCTTCACATTTAAACCTTTCAGGTCATTTGTATCAAGTTCAGCAAGCTTGCACTTTCTACTCAAAGCAAAATATTCCCCATAATACACTCTGTGGTTTTTGTCAGACACTTTCAAATACTTGCTACTGAGATTTTTTTTTTCCTCTGGTTTAGTTTTGAAAGGCAAAAGTGAAATCAAATTTCACTCCCTAGTAACTCCACATCTGTGTTTCTATGTTACAGAAGATTTGAAAAGAAAAAGAAACTGATTCACTTTGTCCTTTGTCACTGTTCCCAGCTGTGAACTGCACCTGCACCGTGACTCACTGAATGCTGAGGAGGCCTAGATGCCTGAAAAGCTTAAACAACAATTTAAACAGTGTTCTTCATGTGCCTCACACAGCTAGAGAAAGAGAAGCTGATTTTATCTTGCTGTTAACGCAAAACAAGTGAAGTTTTGGAAAACAACAACAAAACCCATTGAACACTTTGCACGGCCTTTACATACACTTTGAAACACAGATTCCAAGTCATCTATCTCAGCAAGGTAATAAAGTGCATTTTAAACTTCTCTGTTGGTCTTCATAACTGAATTCCTTTTATATTCCTGAAGTCCAAAATACTCTTGTATAAACACATCCTAGGTTTTTTAATGTTATTTTTTTTTTTTTACTCTTTCATCAAATCAGTGCTGTAGTTTCTAGCATTTAAAAGTATTTTGTAATCCATAGCTAAGTATTCAATGCAACTCATAAAGCAAGCTCTGGATAACTAGAGCTTAAAAAGAAAAAAAAAAAGGAAAGGAAGGTAGAAAGGTAGAAAAAAGTGCACTGCAATAACCTATGTATGAATATACATGGACAGAACTGGATGCTAAAAGTGAGGGCTAGTTCCCAACTCATTGCTGGAAATCCTCTTTTGTTTTCCACTGTACCTTGTTTCTCTCAGTTTGGTAAGTTCTTCGTCCAACTTGCCCCCCCCCCCCAAATCAGGTCTGATTTTGGGCATTTCTGGCCTTTTGCACTTACAGGCCTAGAAATTACTTTATGAAACACCAAAGACACTGGGCAGAGCCAACATGAATCACTATCCTTTAATGTTTACATATTAAATTTAGATCTCCTTATTAATAAACTATATGCTTTCCCTTTCTTTCACTGGTGTCATTCTAATTCAAAGATACTACAAACTTACTTGGAACTTCACTATGCTAGAAAAATTTATGAGCTATTTCTCATGGGTTTATCTGAACTAGCACAAACTTTTATGGGAGTACCTGATGCTGCTGAACTTCCCCCAAACAGCCCCACTTTTAATCAGATGTACTTCACAGACCATTCAGCCAGACCATTAGTAAAGCCAGAACAGGAGCTGTGTTCCACTGCATTCAGTCATTGGAACACTGGTGTTGGAGCTGAACTGCTCAAATAATAGAAGAATAAGTGAGCCTGTGTACTGGTTTGTTTCCTTAAAGCAGACATGGGGTATCTTTCAATTATACCCTAATTGTTTTTCTCCTCAATTACATCACAGTCTGTGCTTCTGATACATTTATTATTTTCCTGCACTAGCCAGAGGTTGTCTCATATCTATAACCATGAGATTTTATATTCTGAAAATTTTATCATATTTCCATTGAGGACTTTTACAAGTGATCGTTGCATGGGCTAATTTGTGGTTTCATTTCTTCCCAGCACCTTAGATAATCAGGTCCATCTGACCATTTAGTGGATTTTTCTTTTTTACTAGATTCTTCTTAGTTTGTACTATTTTTTTGCACAGCCAAGGTGATACTCTGCAAATGAAATGAATATTTGACAACCCAGTGACAGGAATTTAATGGTTAAAGTATTTTTATACAGAACCACTTAAAAAGTGGTAACTAAGGCTACATGTCATATAGTCTGCATTTCTGTATACTTCATTGAAGTAGAGGCTTATGCAGCATCTAAGTTAAAGATTAGAAACATATATCTATTAGGAACATTTTGTCTGCCTTGACAAACTTACCAGTTTATTTGGATGTGGAGAAAAAAATTGGTTTATGGCCCAATAACTGGCATTTTTCCAAGTCTATTATCTAAGAACAAATCCAGTATATAATGTTGAAATATATCCTTCTTTCTCTGGAACTTGGGGGCTCTGCATCTGTTCTGGTCCTCTCATTTTTCTCTGTCACTAACACTGATGTGATGGATCTCTTTGGGTTTGTTACAGTGAGACAGCCAACTCAGAAATTTTGTGAGGTTCTCTAGTGGGGAAAAGGGCCCACAAGAGAAGGGATAGTTTATGCAAAAGCTAGTAAAGAAGGAAAGCTTAAGTCACAATGAGAAATATGATGAGAACAGCCATATGAAGGGAGTCTAGAAAAAATCTGGCCTCTTATTCTGTTTCACAGCTCTCTATTCCCTTTTCAACTGATTCTGGGCATGCACATGATAATTACCACAATGCTCTCAAAAGCCCAGTTCTGTTTTAAGGGTATTTTCTTCCTTTATTTCACCAAAGATTTTCACAAAATGCACCTGACTGATGACTGATATCCAAAGGATTTGATGAATCCATGAAGCTTTGCCAGCTGCTTTTGATGGATCTATTTACCTTTACAGAGAATCGCAGATTCATTTTAAAAAAAAGCCAACAGGAACCTCTTACCTGCATAAAAGTCTGCATTACTACTCAAAAAAAAATAAAGCCATTACCCCACTTCCACATACAGAATATAGTTTTAAAGTTATGCACCTTTTGCAGATAACTAAGTAGAGTTTAAAAGAAGTGGTGTAGGTTTTGGAGGGAATTTACACTCTTATGACATGTGGACGTTTTATATCTGTAAACATTCATGACTTGCTGACCTGCTTCCACAACAAAATTTAATACCCAAATAATTTAATTGTATGTATGACATTCTTTCTTGTACCTTCTTAAAAGACTGTTGAGCCTCCCTACAGAAATACATTCTGCAAAGAAAGAAAGACAAGATTTTTTTTTTTAAAAAATATCACAATTTCAATAGGAAGCCTTATGCACTGTTTGAATACAGATTTGACTGGTAAGGACTTACCACACCCCACCAGAGGGCATCAGCATAGCTGGAGAAACCTGTCTTTCCATCTTCATCAACTGCATCCTTCTCAGCAAGATAAACAAAATAGGATGAAAAAATTAACCCCAAGAATCCAATGTACAACGTGGTTATGAGTTCCTATTAAAAGAGAAAGCAAACAAGCACATCAGGTTTGCATCATGCATATTCTATCATTGCAAAACATTGTAAATTATCTAGGGGGTTTTTTTGGATCACAGTAGAAAAATTAATCTGTTATATTTCAGGTATAAAATTTGCCTCCAGTGAACCAGGTAGTACAGTAATTTGTTTTCTATTCATACCAGGCTAAAGAGTTCAAAAAGCCATCATTAATATGAGATCATTTGGGCAGCTAAATGTAGAGTGGGACATCTCTCCTAATTATGCCTTGTGAATGGAAATCATTCCACTTAACTGTCCACTTAAAATACTAAATCTCTAAACATTTTTAAAACAGCTTCAGAAATGCAGTTTCTGAACAGTACACAGAAATAACAGTGAAGAAATAACAACCATGTCATGTGATTATGGGCATATCTAAGCAACAAACTTGTGTATCTGATGTTTACATTGCTTAAGATTAAACACTTTCATGTTAAGATAAAATAACATCTGAAGATAAAATATGTTGGGCAGGTGTAACCTCTACTTCAATCCTGAAAAGCAAGGTTGGGGCAGTTTATTAGAAGAGACTTTTGTTAGGGCATGATGTAGTTCTTGTGAATATACAATTTTCTCTATAGATTTTTGGACAGGAAGGTTGTATCACAGCTGATGTGACTCCAGTGCGGGATTGTTACAGACTTCAGGAAAAGTGTGCTTGCACATTTAAACAAGCCAAAACGTGTGGTGTCTCAGATGCAAAAACCTGTAAAGCTTTTAAAAAGCAGGGCTATGTTGTATTCAAATGAGATATTCACATACCCCTCAGGAAAATCCAATACCTAGTTAGGAGGGAAAAAGCTTATTTTAATTCCTTGAAGTTTACATGCCTTATTCCTATATTTTCTTTGCACATATTTAGCCATCTCTTCTTTATTAAACATTGTACTACATCTTCACTGGCATCTTCCCTAAGGTGTCTCTTTCCGTTTCTCTTTCCTTGCACCCAAACCAACAAGGAAATTAAAATACTCCCATAAGATAAAATTAAAACCTGTCTAAGAAGGATTGCCTCTAGTTCTAAAGTATGGCAGGTTTTCACAGGTTTCCTGCAATACTCTACCCATGTTTCTTTAACTCTTTGTGATGGAAGGTTCAGTTTTATCATCAAACTTCCTTCAGATTTTCTTTTTTATTTTTTTCTTTTCACTTCCTTATAAGAGCTTTCTGGGAAAAGGTATCCCTGGTATCTAGTAACTGCATTCAGCAGCAGGAACTATACACACTCTTCCTTCTCCTAAGCATTAATTAAAAATCTAGGTTCAGCAAGCCTTTAAGTGATCTTGGCACAAAGCAAAAGTAGGTTTTTGTCCTCTAATCATTTAATAATGACATAAATAATGAATTTTGATAGTATTTAGTTTGGCCCATGGGCAAGTCTTTTAATTCAAGCCTTAACTTTTTGCTAAACAAGGCAGCTGAAAGAGGAAATAAAAGCTGGAGTTTCAGTAGTTCAGATTTCTGTATGGGTCACCTTTATTTTCTCATCTTTAATGATAATGGTACACTGTGTGCTTGCAGATACCACTTCACTGCTTTGAAAAGCTCCTTGTGTTAATGCACATAACTGACTATTTGCATCTCTGTAATTTTTCACAACTTTTTGACTTGCCTTCACAGTGTTTTTTCAGTGCAAGACGAAGCTGCAAAACACCTGAGACTGTAAGTTCTGTGATGCACAGGAGACCACAGCAGAAATGGAGGCTAATTCCTGTTGCCTGCTTACACAGAAAACACTTCTGCTTTCATGTCTAGTAGATTTGTGACTTCCTTCCACATCAACAGAAATCTCTTAGTTACACCTGGCACGTTGCTGACATCTCAGAGGTTAATAGATTTTACCTGTTATTGAGGAGCGTCCATCTCTGCTTTCTTTCAGTGTTGTCCCAGAGGACAGAATTAGAGATTGGATGATAATTAGAATATTTCTGTTTTAAGTGGCTTTTGGGGGAGCAGGCAGGAAAATATGCTTTTCAGAAGTGCTATGCATAGACTTAGGAGATCCTTTCAAAGTGGCTGAATTATCAACAGGACTACTCAGCTTATTTCACCACTGGTGCCCCTCAGCTCCAGTACTATTCATCTAGAGACTGGAATCTTTTTAAGTAAAGGCCAGATGAAAGTATAATTGCCTTAGACTTTTTCTAAATGTCATCACTCCGTGTTACATACGTATAGGGAGAAAAACTAATACATGCCTATTTTTAATTATAAGGACAATGACAGCAATCTCATACATACTGCATTTAATAAATAATAAAATAAAATTGAATATTGAGAGAGTTTTTGAAAACTTAGATAGATCTATATTTTCAGTTACAATAAGGACCACACAATACAAAGTTCAACACTTGGGAAAAATACAAGGAAATCCCAAATCTCAACTCATTGGTAACTCCTTCCTAAAAGCAGTAGAAGATCTCACAAAACAAGGTGAGTGATGAGAAAAAAGAAGTGAGAGGCTTAAAAGCTGAAGCTAGATTGGCTAACTCAGTTTTTCAGTAAGCTGCCTGATTTCTCCAAGTCTTTCCATCACCACATACCATATTGAATCATGTTTTGTTGCTTTTGGCGAAAAATCCTTGTATAAGCTCAACCTGCTGAAAATAGAAGAGCCAAACTGGGCCTGAGTGAGCTAATAAAGCTATATGTAAAATTCCAAAACACATGGAAATCATTGGTGACAACTTCACTACGCTCCTCTGGGCCCACAGAGGTACAAATGCTTGCTATTTTCACAGGTCACAAAAATGTGGATTTATTTTCTCACATTGTTTAATGGTTATGGGCCCCATTTTTTCTCAAAGAGTATCAAACTCAAAAAATAGATGAGGACTTTGTACTCTGCCAGAGAAGAAAAAGCAGCTGAGGTGTTTTTGTTTTGCTTTGGTTTTTTGTTGGTTTTTTTTTAAACAAAAATTTCTTTCAGGGACTGGATAGGAATAAAGGTTACCGTGTTAGAGTTTCAGCTACACTTGTCCAATGTCAATACAGAACTGTGTGTTTGATATTTTTTTTATTAATGTGTTAGTGGGTGATCTGCTTGGACAAGTACTACAGATCTGTAGAGTTTTATTTATCATCATAATCACTTCTTTGGGGTAGCAGAATTTCAGGTGCGTTTACTCATAAATGCACTTCTCCAAGGATTTTTTTTTTCCTTTTAAATCATTGAACTTATTTATGCTCGTGACATTTAAGATTTAAGTGTCACATTTTGGAGATAGTATTTCCTGATTCTTGACTAAAACTCTGAACACCCACAGGAAAAAAATTTCTCAAACACCTCTGTAAGCAAATGTTGAGAAAGTGTATTTGGATATCAGCTCTGCCCTAGCTAGATATCCAGGCAATGTGAGCATAATAAATGGAGACCACACAGACTTGGAGCATTAAAAGTCATCCTGTTGTACAGTATGAAAGGAGGCTTTATACTGGAGCACTTTGGTGTGCATCACTGCTGCACAGCCATCGTGACAAAAAATTTCCTACAGTACTGGGGGGGGGGGGGAAATAAAGGGAAGAAAATTAAATTGTAGTATTAAATTAATCACTTGGATTAAGCACTTCCCATTCTCTGTCTCAGAATAAGTTTTCTAAATAGAAAATTTTAAAATGTCTGTGTGGAAATCTGTAACTATTAGTCAGTGTCTGGGGAACAAATCTACACCCATAAAGCACAAGTTAACCACCCTTAGAAGTCTGATGTGAACATTAATAGCAGAGTATTAGCCCTCCACAGTGTGGTATGATATGCAAAATTAAAAGGCTAATGCTGTAAGTTTCTGTCATACTGATAAAGCTGAGTGGGCTACAGAGATTCCGTGAAGACTCAGAAAGAAGCCTACAACTAGAATTTTTTTTAAGTCTGCAAAAAAACTTCTAAGCTCTTCCTGCTTAATGGACTTTTAGACAGAACAATTGTTTCAAAGCTTTAACAGACACATAACTACTTATAGCCAAGTTTACCTGTGAGACTACACCCTTAAAAAAGCAACTTTTCTTGCGTATTATCATAACATAGTTAATATTTTTATTTATAGAATGCATTTGAAAACTCCTTATTGAGGCAGAGAAAATAGAATTATTTAAATAATTTACTTTTCCACTAGTATTTCTTTTTCCATGCAGCAACCAAGCAAGGAACACATCTTTCATGAAGACAGTGGACAATATTTGCAATATAAAAGGCAGCCCATATAACTACATTTAATAAATTATACTGAAGGATAACATCAAAGAGTACAGCAGTTCATTTCCAAAAACAACCCCCAAAACTGATGCTTAAACCATGTTATCCACTGCCCTGAATAGTTAAGAATAGTTTCCCATTTTAAAAATAGAAAGAAACACATGATGGACTTTTAAAGTATTTTTATTCTTGCAACAGAGAAGTACATTTAAACCAGACTACGATTTGAAGTCCACAAAAGGCATTTACTAAAGTAAACAAAATGCTGGGGATCCTTAAAGGTCAAGTACCTGACGATGTATGAAAACAACTGATCCCAAAAGTCTCCAGGTGCCTCCCTGTCGATCCACATGGAGCATGCGAAGTATCTGGAGAAATCGGATGCCCCTGCAAGAAAAACAGGGCATTAAATAAAAAATACTGCTCTGTCTACCCACAGTTGGCTACGTTCACTAACTGCCATATTAGAGAACTGTGATAGCAACGCCCTGGCCAGGGTTGCACCTCAGATTTGAGGCATCTCAGTAGACTCTGTGTTTAGATTTCATTATAGTCAGATATATATAAATAGGAAAAGAATTATTTAACAGAAAAACAAAGAAGCTTAGGGGGAAATTGCCTATTCTGATTGTCAAATGCCTCCTTTCCAAGGAAAACCAGTGCTTCAAGGTTTGCTAACACAAGTAGGAACAAACTTTTTTCTCTATTTGCCAAAAGCAGAATATGAATCAAACATGGTATCACTGACGTCCTTCTTGTGTGAGTTATAGAAATGATCTAATTGGAAATAGATACAGTTCTAGGTCTTTTTAGGACAATAAGTGAATCATAACCTCCATATTTCCAACTAATGAAAAATAATTGTCCATATGGTTCCTCAGTGTAGTTTTATTCCATGGAAATATTTTATTTAGTCATACTTTTGAGAATGAACTTTGTTTGCCTACAGTCATCCACCTTAGTGACCTATCCCTGAAACAAACCAGTGAAGAGTAGGAAAGGATACATGCTGAATTCATTTATGTGAAAACTTTTCATTAAAAGTATTTTTGGCTCTTTTTATCTACCCTTAAAATTTTGTTGTGGATGTAGGTTTTGCTTTTTACCTTAGACTTCTTATTTCATAAGTCCACTGTGGCTGCATTTTTCTGGGCTACACCTATAAGCTGGAAACTCAGCCATCCTGCAGCCACTGGTGTTACTCACTCTGGGAAGGCAGGTTGTCTTCTGCAATAACCAACTCTTCCTTTATTCAGAAAGCAGGTGTTCTGAGCTCTCACAGCTGACAGTCAAACGATCAAAAGCTTGTCATCAAAAGCACTCAATAATCCTGACTATCAATCACATATCAGTGACCGGGTACATGAACGCCATGGTTTGTTATTTATTTGATATGCCATTGGAATAACAATTTTAATTAGCAGGAAACTTTTTAAGATTCACTTAAAACCTGCTAATTAAAACACGAGTTCAAGAATTACAAGGCTACCAAATATGTGAGCACCAATAGACTTACACAATGCAATTGTTCACTGGTTGCTCCTGTCAGGAGGGGAGAGATCTACATGTAACTCCCCTGTACAGTTATTAGACACATCTCTGGATGCCACAATCAGACTTTGATTTTCCTGTCTTTTGGATCCAAGCTGGTTACAGCTATATTACTGCCAAGTGCTGACATGCATGGTGCAGGCTGGCAGTTTTACAAACAAAAGTTTAAAAAACATGATGGTGAACAAGAAAATCCAGATAGCCCCCAGACATGCACAACACATATCCACTGAAAAGGAAAAAGGAATTTGTTGGAATGAAGATCTCTTTTACCAATTTGGTGACCTTGAAACAGTGAGGAGGTTGGAGGACTCTGCTGGAAACTCTGCTGCTCGGTTCCAGTCTCACTGGTTGCTGCAGTGAGCAAAACGTCAACCTGTCACACTGGGGGATCTGGAGCCTGGAACTTCATTCTACGAGTAAACAACCTAACATGCGTGCACCCATGTTTTCTGGGATTGCTGGGATTTGAGGGAGGTACAAAGAGGACCTTAACGGTACACCTTGAAAGCAACAAACGCAAAGACAAGGTATATGAGATTCATTCCTTCCTAATTCAACAACACTCACGTCACAGTTCTGAGGAATCTGATGGAACTAAGACTTGTCTGACCCTGATGGTTTTTCAGCGGAGCAATAACAAACTGCAGAGATGTGGGTTAAGCTTCTCTGTCAGAGCCTTCTGAGATGTAGTACAGTGACTGTGTGATTGAACACTGGGAAAGGCTGCACTGAGCCCAAACCCAACTGGGTCACACACAAACACAGAACAGGCCTTTCCATAAGAGTCCTTCCTACACTTCTAGTTGAATTCAACAAAATCTTTGGAATTTTCACATTCGCCCTCCTCTTCTCCTATACAAACTGATAAATCACATTCATGTTGCTCGTGTGAGCCTTTACTATCATGTAAGGATTAATGTTCTATGGTAAGAGTCACCTTAAAAATGCTTTATACCTGTAGTTCCTTCCTGTTTTTGTTTACACAGCTAGACAGTTTAGATAGTACTGTACATTCTCACTTCCCAGTGATCAGATTGCATTGGAAATCAGAGGCTTGTAACAGAACGTGCAGCATGTCTTGCAAGTTAAGTTAGAAGCTTATCATTCTTTTCTTCTATTTATCTGCTTTTCCTCCCAAAACAAGCTTGCAGTGCTTGATGCAAGCTGAACAAACACTGTAGACATCAAATGTTTCTGGTTCATGTACAGTATGAGTTACTTGTGCCAAACAAATCCACCAAAGCATAATTACTCTTTAAACAAAGTAATTACTCATACTCAAAAAGTACCGAGTTAAGTGCTGTCTGGATTACTTCTTAAATAAACTGATGTTCTGTAATACTCTCTTGTCTCAGAAGGAGAGCTGTTTGATGTTTTATATAGGACAGAACATTTAGTTTTTTCCATTTGGCTTCAGCATTCCCACCATTTTTCATATGCCTTGTTCCTGTACTCTTATTCCCCAACAGTGATCAAGCACAAAAGCATACAGTCCTCCACTGTCCAGTGTTTCAACAGAATAACTTTTCCTACATTAGGAAAGTCAGAAACACATCTAATTCAGAAATCAGGAAATTAGATATACATCTGATGGTAACATCTATGGTACTGAAGAGCTACAGTCACTAGAAGAACATACCTTATTGCAGAGGTAGCAAACACCTGTCCATTCGATCCTATGCTCAGAACAATAATTGAGGCTACTACCACAATGAGATCTGTTAAAAAAAAAAAAAAAAGGAAAAATGTATTAGTTTTTAGATCTCAGAAGTGAAACACATAAAAAATACAGACTGAGGAAAGAACTTTAAAAAAAAAGAAATTGTTACCTGAAATTTGGTGGGCAATAACTTAATGTAATAGTTTCACATAAAAAACCCAATGACTACAGTTTCTTCCATGAATTTAGTAACGGTAATTTCAAAGAACAGCAGCTTGCTGTACATATGCAAAGTCATATGTACACCCTAGAAATGAATCCACCTTTTAGCTCACAGTTTTGGATTTACGAGGAAAAGTAAGGGTTTGTTTCACTCAATAAGGAAATGCATAAAGTCAAGTATCATGCGTACATGCACAAATACACTTGGTTTAAAAATTGTATCAAAGCTATAGAGCCAAGCTTTCAAAGTTTAGGGAACTGTCAGAACAAAGGTTTGCTGAAAAAAAAACAAAACAGAGTTGTTGGTTTACTTTGTGACACAGTCTTTATTTGTATGAAAAAATAATTGTTTCCAGAGATCCTTATTTTTTGTTTCCAGAACTCCACAGTTTACACAGTTCCAGCACTATACAATGCAAATGATGGATTGTGTTCGCAGTGCCAGCATCCTTTATTTTCTCTTATCCTAGTTCAGTGACCATTTCTGTTTCTTTTAATTATTGAACCTTACTCTAATATTATTTTGAGAAGACATTTTTCTTATTTCCTCACAGGCATTTCTGTGGTAAACCTCTTTAGAGCATCTAAATGCTTCACTTTCAAATTCTAACCAGAAAATAAAAGATAAATGGGTAGCAAATGTAGCCAGAAAGAGGAAAAGTTTTGGTAAATTTCCCTTGCCAGCTTTAAACAGGCAGTACTTTATTCTTCAGAGCACTCAACATTATATAGCACTTCAAAAAAACCAATGCCGGCTGACCTCACTTGCAGCTGTGAGAGCTCAGAACCTCTGTAACCCGACTTCAAAGTCTTCATTTGGACATCCAGAAAATGAGGCACACTTGTGCAAACTGATTTAACTGACTGCCATAGAATTTCCGTGCAATGCCTGGGCAAGATGCAGGACAGAATCCAACTTGAGAGGCAGCAGCAGTTTCCTTCAGAAAGGTTAACTTGTTTTTTCCTCCCCTTTAAAAATTCTCCTGCCTCGTTCACAACCGTGTCGTTGCTGCGACAAATATTGCAGAAGTTCTACAACCATGAGTATCCTTCACTCTCTGACTTGGATTAATTTCCAGTATCAGTCTGGCTTTTGCTGTAAAAGATGGTTCCTCCCCAGGGGATAGCACTCAGTCAGTTTAAAGAGTGTGCAACAATAATTGTACATTTATGAAAATGAAAATAAAGAAAGGGAGGGATGAGGCTACAGAAAGAGCTTCCATTTGGGAATAATCTTAACTTTTGAAGGCCCAACTTTCCAAATTTTTCATGCTATTCTTTATTATGTATATGTGTGAACATATGTTTGTAAATACCAGAATTTAGGGTGAGTTTTCTTCCCATCACATCATAATACAGATCTTTGCTCTTAAGCAAATGATGCACCCGTGTCCTTACTAAATTATCAGACATATCCATATCCATCCAATGACCAGCATTGAAGGAGGAAAAGACTGACTCTCAGGAAATGAGTTTCAATCAGGTAGTGAGAGGAAAATAGATTTTTTTATTTGTTCTTTCTACTTTTCTGAAAGTGTTCTACATGGTAGAGACATTTCTGTTCTTTTATGCCCTCTTCTTCTCTGTTCCTAGTTCTTACTTTAGGCTTCTCTCTCTAATCTCGGTTTACAGGTCCAAATAGTCCTATTTTACAGTCCAGGTCTTCAGCATATCCTGCTCTTTCACTGCCACCTTTCAGTCCCAGGTATTTTCAGCCCCTGCTGTTTTTCCTTCAACCTCCCAATGGTTTTTAGTCTCCTTAAACATTCTTCTCCCAAGCCTTTACATCCTCATCCACCCTCCTGTCATTTTACTGAGTCTGTATGTCCCAGTTCATTCCTTCTACCTCAGCATTTGAGCCTGGTATTTTCCATGTGCCCTGGACAGATCCAGGAAGAACACTATAAAACCAAAATCAACAGATTTTCCACATCCAGCCCCAGCATTACTGCTCCAAGAAACCTGAAATTTGAATTGTGCAGGCTCACTGCAGTTTCAATCTCTGAGAAATATAAGAGCATTCTCTAGCAGGGCATTTGAAGCATAAACAAGCTACCAAATTTTCAGGGGTGTGTTAGTCAGTTTGGATTTTCCGTGATAAACAAAAAGCTATTTTGTCATTAAATTTCAAGTGTCTGCTTCAAAGTTTGGAAGTGTTAGTGCTTCTCCATAAGAAAAGGTCAGAACTGCCTTTCTCAGGAACAGCTTAAACATCCTGCATGAAACGTCTCCACAAGACTCAAGCTGAAGCAGACACTGACATGGAAAACATCAGGATAAAGAGCCAACATTTGTTTAAATAACTTTTTCAGCTCTAACAAGCACTAGTATTTAGAATAGCATCACACTAGTATTTATGGCAGTTCTTAAAAACTGAAGTGTCAAGGAAGTTCGGTAATTTAAAAAATCTGAATACCTGTAATTTATAAACAGCAATATGCAGATATTGTTCCTGAAGTTTCTACCTACTTATGTGTTTGCAGGCATCTTTGTACATACACAGGAGGTGTAGAGAGAAAAAAAGGACATGGCATATTTTATACAACACATGCACCACACATGCAGACGACAGACCCACAGAGATCACATTCCCTGCAATTTAGCATGTGTAGTACTTTAAAAATCTCATCCACTACTAGTTCACTGCGGCTTACTGATGTTCTGAATCCTTGAGAAATTCCAAACAGCTGTCATTTTAATACAAAAGATCAGTTTGCCAATATTACTTAGTTATACATAAACTGCAGCGTAGCACATAACACCTACACTGTAGCTCACCTGAGCATTGCTTTCTAGTTGAGCAAATTTCTGATGTGTTTCTAATGTTTCCAGAAGTTTACTTTCTAATGTACAATTCTCAGCTTTTTTATTAGAAGCAATTAATTGTTTTTAAATTTAAAACAGTAAGACTATTTATATTTTATTTCATATTTTATTGCTGTGCTATATTACAGAATGTAAACAGTCCTCAGCTTAAAGGAGTGTTCTTAGTAGTCTGAAGATAATATGATGTCCACACAGACTATATGCACATATTTGAGTTTGATTTTACATCACTTTTTTTTTGCTGAATTTTTGTGTTCTATCAGCATTTCATGAATTATAAAGATAACTGGAGCTTTACATACCAGGTGCTGCTGCTTTTTCAGAGCTGTATACATAAAACAATTAAAGGTGCTTATAAATAAAGTTCTACTGTGTTTTACTTAAGGACAGTATAAGATAGACACACTATGCAGGCTCGAGTTTTTACACCAGTAACTTTTGTCCCCCTTACATCTTTCAAACTGCATCCTGTCAAAACCAGGAGAAACAAAAGCTAATTCATAAATTGGTTCTTTTGTGATATTTTCTGCAACAACAACAAAAGGATAAAAGGTTGTGAAAGGGCATTCATTCTCTTGATTTTGCCTGTGCTTGGTACCTGCTTTTCATAAAACCCTAATTAGGTTGGGATTCTCAGAAGCATTTAGCTCTCAGCCCAACCTACTGAAATAGTAAGTAATGGAAGTGTTAAATTAGTATTTCAGAAAGGAATCACTATTGCTGCTCCTGCCATGGGACATGAGCAGCACACACTAAACATGCTCATTCTGTGAACTAGGGAATGAGGAATCATGGAGAGAAAAAGGGATTTTTCTAAGGATTCTTGGTATTCTGGGAATGAATTCAATATATGTCTCCTGACAGGTTATTTAATGATAGAATTGTCTTTTCTCACATACATGTAATCATCTACAATCTGTCTGCAAAAAGGAGAAAAATTAGGCTAACTTTAGAAAATCTACCTAAGAAATTAAAAAAAAAAAAAAAAAGATTTACAAGGTAGGAAAATTGCATCATTTTCCATTGCACCTAAAATGTTAAAATACCATTCAAGAAATAATGTGTCCTATCTTAGCATTTTCCTTTCCCAGTTATAGAAGTTGCACATTAACATACTATTTTAAGCAGCATAGAATTCAATAATATTTTAAAAGTTTATAAAAGAAAGTAATATTTAGGCTTGACTACTAAAACTCTTTCAAGTAATCAGCACCAAAGTAATTTTTATTTACAATTAGAGAGGGGAGGAAAGGAGAAAAGATAATGGAAGAAATTAAAGAAATTCAAAATTGCACTTTCTAAGAATGAATTCAAATTTTGGTGTGAACAAAAACCCATACAAAAAATCTCCCTGCTGTCAAAGAAATTTCAGTGGAATTTTTCTGATTTTAAAATACAGACTTTTGTATTAATGCAGAAGTAAAATGAATACCTTATTTTTACATTCTGTTCTAACATTTAATTTCTTTTTCTAGTGTTTGTACTTTATTCATGTTGATTTGAAAATTATAGGATGAGTCAGGATGATTCTTGTTCCTCAATAACCCAAAACTGAGTACAGCAGCTCATCACATTATTCACCACTTACATCTAGATATATAATAGAATATTTTGTTTCCTGAGTTTTTCCACTGTTCCATAGTGTCACAGATGGTTAAGGAAAAATCAGCTCATTCTCTCCCCTTTTACACCTCTGTCACTTCGCTCTATTTAAAACTCAGTGAGTTTAAAATGTTTGACTAATGTAAAATTTGCAGCTCTGTATAATGGACTCCATGATTTTATGGTCTATTATAATTTTGTACAACCACCATCACTTTTTATTAATCCCTCACTGTTCCACAGGTTCTATTAGTTACCTCTCCTAAACTCCCTCCTGCTCCAGAAATGCTACTTACAAAAGTCCCTCAAATCATCTAAAATTGTTTAACTTTACTACTACCCAATAAAATTTCTCCTGAGTTCTACTTTTCCCATTTCCATGTTTTTCTCAATTTACACTCACCTTTGTGTTTGCTTTGTACAGGAGACCTAAAGAAGGACTTTGTGTCCAAAATCTTATCAATTTTCTCCAATTAAACAAATAGATTTGGTCGTTTCTTCACTTTACAATTCTGCCTTTCTAAGGCTGATGTCTGCCTGTGTCTCACAGCCATATTTTAAATGTTCAGTTCTAGCAATCCCAAAGGAGAAATAATTGCATAGGTTCACAAAGCAGATAAATGCTAGAGGAACAGACACAGCTCAGCTGCAATAAGCTCTCTGCAGTAGCTGACATCTTTACTTTAAAACAAAGAAGGAGGGGGGAAAGAGTTTAAATCTTACCGATGATCGATATTGGCTTTCTGGCAAACCGGATTCTTCCCTGGAAGCCAACATATTTACTCCTGCAGCCTGCAGACCACAACCGGACCAAATATTCAGCACCAAAAAACACAACCAGTACTATTTCCTATCAGAAGTAAAAGGAGAAGATATCAGGGTTTTTTTTCGTTAGAAGTCAGATTACAGTTTTCACATCTAATTTATTCTTATGACTAATACAAATAAGTTTGTCGAGATGAATGATGCAATAAAAAGGATTGTGCCTAATCTATTTGCTTTTTATGTGCATATGCCAGCTAGTACACAAAACAAAGATATAATCTGTTCCTGAATGTGATTTGCATGAATAAATGGATGGTTTCATTCCATCAGTCTATCATAGGGGAAATCACAATTTTCTTCTTCTTTTGTTTCTTAAACAAAAAGAATGGAGGGAGGCTACAGGCATATAATTCCTAAAACTAGCAAGTATATGAAACACTTCTAATCACGAATAAGAATTTTTGATCATAAAACCAAAAAGTGTAATTTCAATGTTTGTATACTCGAAATAGAATCACAGAACATGACAAGATGGAAGAGACCCATAAGGATCAAATCCAACCCCCTGCTCCTTGCAGAACTACCTAAAACTAAACCATATGACTAAAAGTGTCATCCAGATGCTCCTTGAACTGTCTCGGGCATGGTGCTCCCTGGGGAACCCATTCCAGTGACCGAACACTTCTCAGTAAAGAACCATTTCCTAATGTCCACTTGAACTTCCACTGGTGCAGTTTCACTCCCTTTCCTGTCCCATTGCTGGCCTAATAGTTTGATGTCCTTCTTATATTGAGGCACCCAAAACAGCACAGGACTCAAGGTGGGGCTGCACCTTTGCAGGTGGGACAATCACCTCCCTTGATCACTGGGTGTGCTAGGCACCCCAGGACACAGGTGACCCTTTTGGCTTCCAGGGCACACTGGTGACTCGTATTAAACTTGCCATCAACAAAAATCCCCAGATCTCTTTCTGCAGGGCTGCTCTTCAGTCTCTTGTCCCTGAGTTTGCATGTGTAACCAGGATGGCCTTGTCCCACATGACAAGAGCTCTTGCTCTTGTAAAATTTCATACAGTTGGTGATTGCCCAGTTCTCTGGTCTATCCAGATCTCTCTGTAAGGCCCCTGTACCCTCAAGGGAGTCCACAGCTCCCCCTAGTTTAGAATTGTTGTCAAACAATGTATATTTGATACCTGAGTCTAGATCATTTATAAAAACATTGTAAAGTTGAGTCCTAGGGAGCCCCACTGGTGACTGACTGCCAGTCTGATGTCATAATCCTTTGAGCCAATGTATAGCTTGTCTAGCTGTGTGCTGGACAGTTTATCCAGAAGGATTTGGTGAGAGACAGTACCAAAAACTTCACTAAAATTCAAAAACACCACATCTGCTGCCTTCCCTTGGTCAGCTGTCAGTGACCTAGCCATAAAGGGAATTTAAGTTGATTAAGTAGGACTTGCCCCTCATGAACTCATGCTGCCTGTAACCAGCAACTGTCTTGTCTCTCAAGTTGTTTTTGGTAACCCTCAAAACAACCTTCTCCATAATTTTACCAGGCACTGAAGTGAGGTTGATAGGTCTGCAATTACCAGGGTCTTCCTTCTTACCCTTCTTGAAAACTGGAACAACATTTGCCAGCTTTCAGTTTAGTGGGACTTCTCCAGAGTCCCAAGACCATTGAGAAATGATGTCCCACAACGACATCTGCTAGATCTTTCAGTATCCTGGGATGAATCCCATCAGGCCCCTGTGCATTCAGCTGGAGCAGCAAGACTCAAACAAGTTCAGGGTCGACTGGGATTTTATCATCCTCCCAGTTGTGGTCTTCCAACAGAGCTCTGGGCTTCCCAGGGCCCATCACTGTTTTTGAAGACAGAGGTGAAGAAGGCATTAAAATGTCTCTGCTCTGTCTACATGCCTATTTGTGAGGTGACTGATCTCATCAAGCAATGGCCCAATGCTATTTCTGATTCCCCTTTTGCTATTAACATAGTTTTAAAAGTCCTTTTCGTTGTCCTTCACAGCACTGGCCAGCTTGAACTCTAATCGAGCTTTGGCTGCACTAACTTTCTCTCTACCATGGTGGACAGAATCTCTGTAGTCCTCCTGTGTCACCTGTCCTCGTCCATACACTTACCTTTTCTGCCTAAGTTCTAGAAGATCCTTGCTCAGCCAAGCTGCTCTTCTGCCCCACTTGCTTGACTTCTACACTTTGAATTGCCTGCTCCTGTGCTCTTAAGGAGTGACCAGCATTCGTAATAGTCCCCAAGACCTTCGAAAGCAGATTCCCAAGAGACTTTACCAAGTAGCTCCTTCAGCAGCCCCTAATCTTCTCTAACCACACCCAGCATCAAAGTTTCACTGGAAGTTTTTCTTCTATCACCAACTTTTGAAACTCAACTAATTCATGGTCACTGTGACCAAGACAACCATCAATCACCACTTCACCCACAAGTCCCTCTCTTGTTTACAAACAACAAATCCAGTAGGGCACCTTTCCTAATTGGCTACCTGCACCAAGAAGTTATCTTCAACATGCTTCAGAAATTTCCTGGACCTGATTGTGTTCTCTGTATGACATTCCCAGTTGCTATCTGGGAAGATAAAATCACCCATAAGGGCAAGAGTAGCTGGCACAGAGATATTGCTTAATTATTTGCCGAATATTTATATACTATATTATTATATTATGTTATGTTATACATAATAATTAATTGGTGTTGTCATTCTGGCTGGATGGTCAAGAGTAACTCCCACAACGACATCTGATTTATTTACTTTCCCCTTCATCCCTACCCAGAGGCTCTCAACCATATCATCACCAGCTGTAAGCACCATACAATCCAACTCTTTCCTTACACACAGTGCCCCCACCCCACCTCACCTGCCCTGCCTACACCCTAAAGATCTTAAAAACTGTCCCTCTTCCCCCCCCTCAGTCACTGGACTCATCCCAGAAGGTTTTACTTGTGCCAATCATTTCACAGTTCTGGAACTGGGTGCAAGCTGTGGGCTCCTGGTAGGTCTCTTTGTTCCTGAGAACCTGAGCTTTCCCTAGGATGGAATCCCACCCTATCCTTAACCTGGAGTGCTCTGCTGTGGATCTAGGGGGTACCAGAGCAGCACACCTCGCTGACTGAGGTGAGCTGTACATACACCATGTAAAATAAATGAATTACCTATATTTTAGTGTTCTTTCCCTCTACAGCAATACATTGTAAAGCACTCGTGCACAACCAAGGGTAAGATACTTTGAAATACTTCTAAAGAAAGTAGATTAGTAAAGATCACCACTTGGACAGATTTGTTGAGATCTTTGTTGCTTCCTTCCTTATTTTCCTCCACCATTTCAATATGCTAGCACAGCCAAAATACAGCTTCTAGGCTTTGTTCCAACCCAAACTGCATCCAGTAACTCAGAGCCACCAAACACCTACTACATAATTTACAGCTTCGGAAAATATTTGTATTTTAACTTAAACAAGAGTGTAATCTGCACCTGGGGAATTCTAAAGCACCCAAAGAGTGCATACACTTAAATCACAATTTTCACTGAGTAACAATACCAACATGTCTTTAAAACCAACATTCTGGATGGTTGAAACGAGACCAAAATATTTCAAAGCTGAAAACCAGATAAGAAAAACTCTAATACGCAAAACTTCATGTCAATTTAGATTTTTAACAAAGTTAGGTTCACGTTTCTGTATTCACTTCTGCCTCCTTGTTTTGCCTGGAATGAGAACCAAGAAAATGTGCAGTCTTCCTCTGTTTTCATGGCACTTCCAGGCTGACTAAACTAAGTATTAGTATAAAGTTAAGAAAGTTTATAGCACGGTTTCCAGGTCGAAACACAAGAAAATACGCAACAAATTAACTCTCCAAGTTTGATTTTTTAATTAATGTATTATCTTGAGCATTCAGAAATAATTCTTCTAAATTTGTGTTCTGTCTGAAATCTGAATGCAAATATTTATTCAAGCATAATAGTCAGAGCAAAATCCAAGAACACACTGCAGAGGAAAACAATTCTTACATTTCTGGAATCTTGTAAAATGCTCTCTCACATTAAATTGTCTGGTTTTTAGCAGGTTCCTGGTATCATCACTCAGTAGCATTTGTTTTCAAGTCACTTATCAGGGATCTCTTATTTCCATCAAAGGAAGCAGGACACTTTATGGCAGTGGAAGAATCATTTTTACAGATCTGCATATTAAAATCACTGCATCAGTTAGGTAAAAAATTGTATAGAAAGGAGACAAGCAGATAAGTGTTAAGGAAGCAAAAACTTCTTAGGTTATTCCTTGATGATCTTTTGAGGGTACTTTTAAAAGCTGAAATTAAAACTGTATCTGGCCTAAGGGTATTTTAGTCTCAAGGCAAATGCCAGAACCTACAATTTCATTTCATCTACCAACAAGAACCCATCTTGGTTATGTCCGGGAAACTCTACTGAAGTAAATAAAGTTGCACAGTTAATGAAAGAAAAAAGAAGGAGGAAAAGGAGGAATTTGCATCTTCAAGGCACTTGAAATTAATTACTGATCTCAGTTCATTTTGTCCATGACAGGTGTCCATATTACCAAAACCACAGCAATTAACACATTTGTTGGCAGCCTCAGACAGGCCAAAGACCAAAAAAGCATGGAAACTGGACAAACAGCGTAGCTCTATAGATGGTCCCTTGAAAAAAACTAAGGAAGATTATGAAACTTACACTCTTGTTTTGTGTACTCCTGATGTAAGATAGGAGACATCCATTTCCAGGGCTGTCAAGGCTGATCAAGCTTCACCTCACTAAACTCACCTTTAAAAACACCCCTAACCTGCTTCCTTTTCCTCATCTACACATAAACACTTTTCAGAACCTTAAATTTATTGCCTCATATTTACCTTCTGGTAAAGAAAAAAAAAAACCCAGCAGTTTTCTGGAAGGTCAGAAAAAAGTACTTAATCCCACTGGAATGGCAACAAATAATGGTGAAGACTTGTGGACAAAACATGAACCAGATTAAAATCTGCAAAAATACTCTGCAAATTAAATTTACATTCATTTGTATGTCAGTTTGAGATCTTTCTCCAGCTT